ATGACAGGCAGGAGCCACCAACACCCAGCTTAAACTATTATACTCTAAATAACAGGAGAAAGAAAAATATGTAGGAAATGCATAGTTTTTCCTGGCCAAAGAACTTTAGGTCATTTTAGTCATCTTAGCCCGGTTTCTTCCTTATAAAACTGAGCTGGGCATCAGTGTCCCATGCCTATAATAATCCAGTGTACTCAGGAGGCTGATATCTGAGGATCGCAGTTCAAAGCCAGCCTGGGCAGGAAAAAAGTCTGTGAGGCTCATTTCCAATGAACCACTGGAAAACCGGAAGTGGCGCTGTAGCTCAAGTGGTAGAGTGCTCACCTTGAGCTGAAGAGCTCAGAGACAGCGCCCAGGCCCTGAGTTCAAGCCCCACAACCGACAAAAATAAATAAAATAAAACAGAGTTGCTAATGTAGGTACTGATTAAAGTTCTCTAGCCCCTGAGATTGTGTGGTTCTGTTTGTGTGGGGCTTGAACTCAGGGCCTGCGCACTGTCGCTGAGCTTCTTTGGTTCAAGGCTAGCACTCTACCACTTGAGCCACAGGACTATTTCTGACTTTTCCTACATATGTGGTGCTGAGGAATCGAACCCATGGCCTTGTGCATGCTAAGCAAGCACTCTACCACTAAGCCACCTTCCCAGCCAGGATCTAAGGGGCTCAGACAGGATGATGATCAGGCAGAATGACCCTGCAGGTGAACCTGCTCAATGAAAGCATGCCAAAGGCTCAAGCAGCTCTCCCTGACCATCCCCGAGTCCTGAGCCTCATCGATCAGGGGGGAAGCCTTCCCCCGTGCGCCCTCCCGTTCACCGCATCCCGTGTTCTGGCCCAGGATCGTGTGCCAGCTTCAGCGGATGCTATCTATCGCCGTGGAGGTCGACAGGACGCCCACCTGCAGCTCCAACAAGATCGCGGAGATGATGTTTGGCTTCGTGCTGGACATTCCTGAGAGGAGCCAGAGGTGAGTCTGCTTCTGCCCTTTAATAAAGAACTAAATAAGCCAGACGCCGGTGGCTCACGCCTGTCATCCCGGCTACTCAGGAGGCTAGATCGGAGGATCACGGTTCAAAACCAGCCTGGGCAGGAAAGTCCATGAGACTCTCTATCTCCAATAAATGACTCAGAAAATCCGCAAGGGGCGCTGTGGCTCAAGTGGTAAAGCGCTGGCCTTGAACTGAGATGCTGAGGGACAGCGCCCAGGCCCATGACCAACATTAATTAATTAACTAATTAATTAAACAAAAGTGTACCTTTAAAATTCTCTCCCGAAGGGGAAAATTTGCCACCCAACTTAATTATATTCAGTTTAGTTTAAGGACTGGGAAGGTGGCTCAGTGGTAGAGCGCTTGCCTTGCATGCCTGAGGCCCTGGGTTCAATTCCTCAGCACCACATAAAGCAGAAAAAGCCAGAAGTGGTGCTGTGGCTCAAGTGGTAGAGTGCTAGCCTTGAGCTGAAGAGCTGAGAGACAGCACCCAGGCCCAGAGTTCAGGCCCCAGGACTGACCAAAATATATATATATTTATTAAAATATATATATATATATATATTATATATATATATTTTTTTTAAACTGGGAACTAGTGATTCATGCCTGTAATCCTAGATATTCAGGTGACTGCAATTGGAGAATCATGGTTCAAAGCCAGCAGGGAAAGAAATGTCGGTGAGACTTTCTATTTCCAATGAACCAGCAAAAAGCCAAAAGTGGCGCTGTGATTCCAGTGGTGGACCGCTAGCCTTGAGCAAAGGAGATCAGGGACAGCACCCAGGTCCTGGGTTCAAGCCCCATGACCAACAACAACAACAAAATAATAATAATAATCTCAGAACTTGAATGCATTCACCCATTCTTTTACAATCATCTTGTCTAGGAATAAAGAGAGTTTAGACACCTTTCCTTCCGATCTGGGCGCCGCTTGGTCTTTTTCTCGCCTTATCACAGTATAATACTAAGGTGATGAGGATGGACATCCAAGCCTCTCCCCGGTCTACGGTCTACGGGGCTCAGTGAGTCACTAACCATTAAGTGTGAGGGGCCATAGATACTTTGTCAGATTGAGGGTGTTCCCTTCCATTTCCGGTTCACTAAGTGTTTTTCTGAAGAATGAATGGAGACATTATCAACTAGGTTTTATCCCTCTTGGCATACTCAGAATTTCTGGATATCCTGTTGATACAGCGATTACATCGATCATTGTTTTTGGTCCAGGGCTTGACCTCAGGGCCTTGCCGTCTTGCAAGTTCACTCCAGGCTGGTAACTCTACTCCATGAACATAAACCTCCACTTCCAGCTTTGTGCTGGTTCATTGGCAGGAAGAATCTTAAAAGACTTCCAGGCTGGCCTCAGACCTCGAGCCTCAAATCTCAGCCTTCTGAGTAGCTAGGATTATAGAAGTCGGCCGTCAGTGGCAGTATAGTTACTTCTCATAGTTAAAGATGGCATAATTCTTTAATGTGTGCTTGTGTCTGGTCTTCTCTCTTATCCTGGTAGTTCATGAGGAAATCCATTTCTACCCTGCCCATGAGCTGCATGATATTTGTTTTTGTTTTTGTTTTTTTGGTTCGGTCAGAAGGCTTGAACTTTGGGCCTGGGTACTTAGTTTTTTGTTGTTGTTGTTGTTTTTTTTTTGCTCAAGGCTGGTGCTCTACCACTTGAGTCACACTTCCAGCCTTTTGCTGGTTCAGTGGAGAGAAGAGTCTCACTTTCTGCCTAGGCTGGCTTTGAACCGCGATCCGCAGTTACAGGCATGAGCCGCAGCACCTGGCTCTCATCTAGTTTTTTTTTTTAGGGCAGGTGTTCTTTTGGGGCCTGGGCGCTGTCCCTCAGCTCTTCAGCTCAAGGTGAGCGCTCTCCTACCTGAGCCACAGCGCCACTTCCGGTTTTCTGAGTGGTTCATTGGAGATCAGAGTCTCACGGACTTTCCTCCCCGGGCTGCCTTTGAACCGTGATCCTCAGGTCTCAGCCTCCTGAGTAGCTAGGATGACAGCTGGTTTCTCAGGGCCGGTGTTATATCGAGGGTGACATCTGGTCTTGGAAATCGATGGCTGATGGCCTCTCCTCCTCGTCTCCTAGGGAGATGTTCTTCAGCACCATGGAAAGTCACCTTCTGCGCTGCAAAGTGCTGGAAATCATCTTCCTGCACGGCTGCCAGACACCCACGCGCCTGCCCTTGTCCCTGGCCCAGGCCCTGTATTTCCTGAACAACTCCACATCTCTGCTCAAGTGCCAGGTACACGGTCCCGCTTCCCTCCCAGGCCAGCCCGCCTTCCCCTCAGTCTGCTCTTTGAACAGCATTGTAAGTCAACTTGAGACTGCACCCTCAGGGGCTGGGAAGGTGGCTCAGTGGTAGAGCGCTTGCCTTGCATGCATGAGGCCCTGGGTTCGATTCCTCAGCACCACATAAGCAGAAAAAGCTGGAAGTGGCACTGTAGCTCGAGTGGTAGAGCACTCGCCTTGAGTTGAAGAGGTGAGGGACAGCACCAAAGCCCAGAGTTCAAGCCCCACAACTGACAAAAAACAAAAACAACAAAGAAAACGTCAATCAGATGCCAGTGGCTCCCGCCTATCATCCTAGCTCCCCAGGAGGCTGAAATCTGAGGATCACAATTCAAAGCCAAGCCCGGGCATGAAAGTCTGAGATTTATCTCCAATGAACCACCAAAAAGGTTGAAGAGGAGCTGTGGCTCAAGTAGTATAATGCTTGCCTAGCACTTCAAACTATAGAATTGGGTGGGGGAGAGGTACACGGAGAGAAAAAATAAAGAGGGAGGAAGGGAAGGAACAAACAAACTAACCAAGGAAATAACCCATGGCTGACACCTGTAACTCTAGCTACACAGATATCTGAGGATCACAGTACAAAGCCAGCCAGGGAAGGAAAGTTTCTGAGACTATTACTTCCAATGAACCACAAAAGAAGTCTAGAAGTAGAGCTGTGGCTCAATGGGTAGAGCACCAGCCTTAAGCAAAAAGGCTCAGAGACAATGCCCAGGCCCTGGGGTTTGAACTCAGACCCTGAGTACTGTCCCTGAGTTTCTTTGTGCTCAAGGCTAGCGCTCTACCACTTGACCCACAGCACCACGTCCGGCTTTTTCTGTGTCTGTGGTACTGAGGAATCGAACCCAGGGCTTCATGCATGCTAGGCAAGCGCTCTACCACTGAGCCACTTTCCCAGCCCATATACATATATATAATATTTTAATCTGAATCATAATGTTCACCAGGAAAGGCTCTTACCGTTCACTCATTTTTCTCACTCAGCAATCAGAGAAAAGCCAGTGGCAGATTTGGGACGAGCTGGTTGAACACCTGCAGTTTCTCTTGTCTAGTTACCAACATGTCTTAAGAGGTAAGGAACGCGGACTCACAAGTAGCTAAGGGAAGTCATTAACACGGCTCTACTCATGCTGTGAACAGCCACCTGGTTTTGTGGTGGCTGATGGCCCGGTGCTGCTCCTGGGGTGGGGGTGGGGGTTGGGGGGTAATGTGGACAGAGCTGGTACTGACTTGCTATAATCCCGGACAGCCCAGCCTCTGCTACAACCACCTTGGCTGAGGATCTCTTCACTACAGATGTTATAAACATCAGTCTCAAAACAAGCACCATGATTCTGTTCCACATAAAACACATCCATTCTAAACACAGCCGGATGCCGGTGGCTCACGCCTGTCACCCTAGCTACTCAGGAGGCTGAGATCTGAGGATCGCGGTTCAAAGCCAGCCCGGGCAAGAGAGACCGTGAGACTCCTATCTCCAGTTAACCTGCAAAAAGCCAGAAGTGGAGGCATGGCTCAAGTGGAAGAGCACCAGCCTTGGACAAAAGAAAAAGCCAAGTGAGAACTCCCGGTCTTGAGTTCAAACCTACACAACATGCTTCAGAGCACCCAGAACTGGGGCCAAAGTGTTTATGTAGTTGGTGCGTTTGGTTTTTTTTTGCCAGTTCTGGGGCTTGAAATCAAGACCTGGGCACTGTTCCCTGAACTTCTTCGTGTTCACGGGTAGCACTTTACCACTTGAGCCACAGCACCACTGCTGGTTTTTTGTTTTGGCTTTTTTTTTTTTTTTTGGTTAATAGTGGGGCTTGAACTCTGGCCCTGGGCGCTGTCCCTCAGCTCTTCAAGGCGAGCGCTCTACCACTTGAGCCACAGCACCACTTCTGGTTTTCTGGTGGTTCATTGGAGATAAGAGCCTCACGGACTTTCCTACACAGGCTAGCTTTGAACCCCGATCCTTAGATGTCTGCCTCCTATGTAGCTAGGATTATAGGTGTGAGCCAATGGCGCCTGACAACTGCTGGTTTTTATGAGTAGTTTATTAAAGTATCTTACAGGGACTTTTCTGCCCAGGCTGGCTTTGAACCATGATCCTCAGATCTCAGCTTCCTGAGTAGCTAGGATGACAGGCGTGAGCCACCAGTGCCAGGTAGTTGGTACAATGTTTTAGTGTCCTGACACAAATTGTTCTGAGCACTGTGTCCTGAAATCAGTTCCCTGAGTACTTACTAGCCTTGTTGACTATGTAATTGTGTCTTTTGCTGACCTAACGAAGTTGAATATTAAAGCAGGTCTGTCTCAAGTCAGTTTTTTTTTAACACTTTTTAACCTGGAGGTGTACCCTGATCCCTCATTTTGCACATTTCTGTAGGGGGCAGAGGCAAATACCACCATGAGCTCATGCTCCAGCTCAGGGAGCCGAGGCCGGGTGAGGCTTGGCAGAAACTGCTCTCTCTAAAGGCTTTTCCTAATGCTTGTGAATAGTCCAAAACCCCCAGTTTATTTTTGTTGGTTGGTTGGTCATGGGGCTTGAACTCTGGGCCTGGGCGCTGTCCCTCAGCTCTTCAGCTCAAGGTGAGCGCCCTACCACTTGAACTATAGCGCCATTTCCAAAAACTCCCATTTTAAAAGCTGCACTCAGCTGGGCGCCAGTGGCTCACGCCTGTCATCCTAGCTACTCACAGGAGGCTGAGATCTGAGGATTGCAGTTCAAAGCCAGCCCGGGCAGGAAAGTCCATGAGACTCTGATCTCCAATAAACCACTCAGAAAACCGGAAGTGGCGCTGTGACTCAAGTGGTAGAGCGCTAGCCTTGGGCTGAAGAGCTGAGGGACAGCGCCCAGGCCCAGAGTTCAAGCCCCACAACCAACCAAAAAAAAAAGACCAGACACAAATTAGTGAGTGAAGGCCCTCGTTGAGTGAAAAATGCTAAGGAACAGTACCTGGACCCTGAGTTTAAGCCCTTTTACTAGCAAGTGTTCATGTGCATGCACATACACACACACACACACACACCATTTTCCTTTAATTTTTTACATATGACTTCAGTAAGCCTTAATAAACTGTATGTTAATACAATCAGAAGAAATTTAGGTGACTTGATTATCCGTGTGCACATGCATGCCAGTCCTAGTGCTTGAACTGAGGGCCTCCACTCCGACTCTGAAGTGTTCGTGCTCAAGGCTGGTGCTCTACCACTTGACCCACAGCTGCACTTCCAGCATTTTGGTGGTTTAAAGAGTCTCAGGAACTTTTCAGCCCAGGAGGGCTTTGAACCACAACCTCAGATCTCAGCCTTCTGAGTAGCTTGGATGACAGGTGTGCTACCCGTGCACACCAGGAAAACCCGCTTTTGTTAAAGACCTGAAACCTTTCAAGGCTGCAAGTGACGCAGACCTCAGGGCTCCAGCGATGGGTTTGGGCTCCCGGTCCCTCACCGCCCTGTCTCCTGATGGCCAGCAGCTGGCCAATCAATCCCTCTGCAAGCAGCCTTCAAGGCTTCGATCCTGAAGGCCGAGGTGATTCACCTTGCCCTCTCTTTCCAGAGCACCTCCGGAGCTCGGTGATCGACCGCAAGGACTTAATCATCAAGAGGATCAAGCCCAAACCCCAGCAAGGGGACGACATCACCGTGGTGGATGTGGAGAAGCAGATCGAGGCCTTCCGCGGCCGCCTGGTCCAAATTCTCGGGGAGCCCCTGGTCCCCCAGCTCCAAGACAAAGTGCACTTGTTGAAGCTGCTGCTCTTCTATGCCGCTGACTTGAACCCCGACACCGAGCCGGGCCCGAAGCGCTGGAGCCATTCGTGAGGGCCTCCCAAGCAACCGCGCACCAAGAATACCTCCAAACTCTTCCTCCAAGCACTTAGCGGCTCCCAAGTATGCACAGTAGTTCCAAACCTAGCGCCACACCTAGACTGTGTATCTGTAGGTTAGACTAAGCTGGCCAGCTCCCCCTGTATATGTTTTTTTTTTTGATAATCCTACTCTAACCCTATTCTCAAAAAGGTGTATTAAATATACAAAGGGTATCTATTTTTTAATAAATTATTTATCTACGCTCTTTTTTGAACTAGGTAATACTATATGCACTACACGTTTGGACATTTCCATTCAAAATGTGAGGAGAGGCCGTGGGCTGGGCAAGCTACGTCAACGTGGCCATTCCTAAGGACACCTGTTCTGCATTCCTAAGGACCCCGCTGGTCCCGCAGGGGACCCCCACCCCCCCACTCTCAGACCTTTTGTGTGGCATCCGTGGGACTGTGCCCAGTGTATCAAGATCTCATGTAACCAGCTGGGGTGGGTGGAAAGAAACTAGTGTGCTAGAAAAACATGTCAAAAAAGCCACAATAAAGACAATAGGTTTTAGAACACATTTTTTCATGCTTAGGGTATGATGATTGGTAGGCAGAGGGCTATTTATTTTCCCTTGTGTGTGCCAGAACCCAGGCTTGAATATACATGGGTCTTAAACTCATTCAGGGCCTGGACACAGCTCCTGAGCTTTTTTTGCTCAAGGCTAGCGCTCTACCACTTTGAACCAGGGCCACTTGTGGTTTTCTGGTGGTTCACTGGAGAGAAGAGACTCACAGGGACATTGTTAACCCCGGTTGGTTTCAGATTCTCAGATCTCAGCCTCCTGAGTAGCTAGGATTACAGGCATGAGCCACTGGTGCCAGGTTTCTCCTAGCATTTTTGCTCGAGACTGGCACTCTGCATCTGAGCCACATTGCCACTTCCAGCTTTTTGGGTGGGTGGTTAATTGGGGATAAGAATCTTGTGGACTTCCCTGCTGGCCTCAAACCTCAATCCTTAAGTCTCAGCCTCCTGAGTAGCTGGGAATACAGGTGGGAGCTACTGATGCTGGCTTCAAACAGCTACACATAACCCAATAAAAAGCTACATATCCACAGTTGAGAAAGTAAGGGTTTTTATTGTCAGTACGAGTGATGTAACAAAGACACAAATAAATTAATTTTTCTGACAATTTGAAACTCCAGGGCTGCTCTCTGAGAAGGTGAACTCTTCTGTAAACAAAACACCACCCAAAACAAAACCAGCGAGAATCTGAGCCCGTGTGGAACAGGATGGAACACAGCAAGGAGAAATAAAGGATGTGTTTTCCAGAAAGTTTTGGGGCTCGTTTTGATGGAAAATGCTCTTAGAAAAATGTATTGTCCCCCTCTGGAAAAAAAAATTTTTTTTAGAAGCCCCAAGCCTGGAAAAAGAAATCAAAATGAGGTCAGATTAATGGGTCCATCTACTCAAAACTTCCAGCCCCTAGATGAAGCGTTTGAACATGCACGAGACCCTGATCAAATTTCCAGCCTCGCCCCCCGACCCCCAAGAAAGAAAACATGAGTATCCACTTAGCAAGACGGACGTAGTTCTCCATTTTCTCCAAATGACATCCAAAGGCTTCTGCTTGTTAGAAAGGAACAAAAAGAACCTCGCTGCAGTGAGTCATGATTCCACTAGCGTTGATTTAAAAAACCAAAAACAGACAAGTCACCTCTAGTTCCAGCCTAGAAAGTGGGGGTCGTGTTCACTGCCCAGATCTCAAAACAGGACCCTGGGCCCCTAACCAATCAGGTAGGCCGTGGATGCCATTGGTCGTGTTGATTGAAAGACTCAAGAGTTGGGTTGGGGACTTGCTACACCTAATTCACCTAGTAAGCGAGGGTCAAAAACCTGTGGCTCGAGCTACAGAACCACACAGGGCGAGAGCCCCAAACACCACAGTTGCCATCGGGACAGAACGACCAAAGCTACTGGTTTGCTCGAAAGAAAATCACTGCATATGTCTAGCTGCAGCTGAGCAGGTGCAGTCAGAAGATACCACTCCTAGGCCATAACCAAGAGGACAGAATTCCAGGGACAAGGGTGTGCGCTAAAAGCCAGTGGGTGTGAGCACGTTGAAGTCTCGGGGTTTGAGAGTGTGGGTCCGTGGAGGTGGCGGTGGCTTTTTCCCTTCTGTCACGGGGGCATCCATCTTGGGGGGCTGGAAGGTGGGTGGCTCGTCGGCCGATCGGGTGGCCTGCGCACGGATCAGCTCCATGGGGGTGGGCTTCTGCGCCCCTTTGTAGGCCTGGAGGGTGAAACCTCCGGAATCAGACTTCTGCAGGGGCCTTGGTCCAAAGAAACTCCACTTATCCGCCATGTTTCTGTCCTTATCCCCACTTCCGGGATCCATGGTGCTAGGATTCGGGCCAGGAAAGGCTATGGAGGATGTAAACCAGCCTCTAGAAGAAGAGCACGAAGCATTCAATACACCGCCGCCTGCGACAGACTGCCCTCTTGGCTTTATCCACGCAAAGCTCTGCCGGACTCTGCTGAGATCTGAGGATCCTGGTTCAAAGCCAGCCCGGGCAGGAAAGTCTGTGAGACTCTGATCTCCAATAAACCACCAGAAAACTGGAAGTGGCGCTGTGGCTCAAGTGGTAGAGCGCTAGCCTTGAGCTGAAGAGCTGAGGGACGGCGCCCAGGCCCTGAGTTCAAGCCTCACCACCACCCAAAAACAAAAGTCTCAAGGAATTTTCTTCCCCAGGCCAGCCTTGAATTGTGATCCTCAGATCTCAGCCTCCTGAATAGCTAGGATGACAGGCATGAACAGGCTAAGAACAGGATAATGGATGATGTCCACTTCCCAGCCCAAAACGGAAGTTCAACTCCAGGCCCACCTGCGCCCAAGCGTTCCTGACCGGGGCGACTGGGCTCAGCGGCTCCCAGGGAGTGCTCACCTGGGCTTGTGCTTAGGGGAAGACTGCGGGGTGCTGGTCGGGGTGGACTGGGCTGAGGCGGGCTGCTTGTCTTCTCTTGTTAGGTCTCCGCTCTGTAGCTTCAGTTTCTGCTCAGATGGACGAAATTTGATCAAAGTAAAAGTTAACCCAAAACAGCACTCTGACTTTTAAGCAAATGAAAGAAAATGCGCCGGGCGCCGGTGGCTCACGCCTGTCATCCTAGCTACTCAGGAGGCTGAGATCTGAGGATCGCGGTTCAAAGCCAGCCTGGGCAGGAAAGTCCGTGAGACTCTGATCTCCCATGAACCACCAGAAAACTGCAAGTGGCGCTGTGGCTCAAGTGGTAGAGCGCTCGCCTTGAGCTGAAGAGCTGAGGGACAGCGCCCAGGCCCTGAGTTCAAGCCCCACAAACGACAAAAAATCCAAGATGGAAAAATTTGGGACTATAGTACATACATTTGTGTGTGTGTGTGTGTGTGTGTGCACGCACGCGCGCGCGAGAGTGTGTACACACACCAGTCCTGGGCTTGAACTCTGGGTCTGGGCACTGTCCCTTAGCTTTTCATTTATTTTTATTTTTTTTGTCAGTTGTGGTACTTGAACTCAGGGCCTGAGTGCCGTCCCTGAGCTCTTTTGTTCAAGGCAAGCGCTCTACAACTTGGAGCCACAGCGCCATTTCTGGTTTTCTGGTGGTTTATTAAAGATAAAGAGTCTCATGGACTTTCCTGCCCAGGTTGGCTTTGAACCGGGATCCTCAGATCTCAGCCTCCCTGAGTAGCTAGGATGACAGGCGGGAGCCACCACGGCCAGGCAAGGAAGGTGCTCTAACACTTGAGGGCAGAGGGGAAGAGAAGGGGAAAGGACTGGGAGGGGAGGGCTTGGCTTTGCAGGAAGTCGGCAAGAAGGCCACTTACATGGAGCGCCTCTGCCACGCGGAGGTACTTGGTCTCCTCTGTGGTGAGGCCTTTGTGTGGTGTATAGCCCGCATCTCTCAGCCCTGCCTGTTGCTCAAAACGCTGGATGTTCTCCTGGGTCTGTTCTGGAAAAGGAGATCACAGTCAGGCCCAATCCCACCCCCCCGTCCCGCCCTCCCCCAGCAAGGGAGAGGCCACTGAGGTCCAAGGGCCATCAGCCACACCCAACCAGGCCAGAATGGGGGCCCCGGACAGGCCCTCAGTTGGTGACCCGGATTCCACTATGGCTCCCAGCGCCAACAGCCTTCCCTCTCCTAGCCAGAGATGAGAAGTTCCTAGGAGTAGCTGGGCTCTGGTGGCTCACACCTGTCATCCTAGCTACTCAGGAGGCTGAGATCTGAGGATCACGGTTCAAAGCCAGCCCAGGCAGGAAAGTCCGTGAGACTCTGATCTCCAAATTAACCACCAAAAAGCTACAAGCGGAGCTGTGGTTCAAGTGGTAGAGCCCCTAGCCTTGGGAGAAAAAGCTAAGGGCTGGTACCCAGGCCCTGAGTTCAAGCCCAGTACTGGCACATAAAAATAAAAGGAGCTGGGAAGGTGGCTCAGTGGTAGAGCGCTTGCCTTGCATGCCTGAGGTCCTGGGTTCAATTCCTCAGCACCACATAAGCAGAAAAAGCCAAGAGTGGTGCTGTGGCTCAAGTGGTAGAGCGCTAGCCTTGAGCTGAAGAGCTGAGGGACAGCGCCCAGACCCAGAGTTCAGGCCCAGGAATGATCAAAAACAAAAAAGTACCAAGTTTTCATCAAAACTCACTACCCCATCACTCACCCACAAAGTCTGGCCAAAGGAAACAAGTCACATTCAGGCTAGCGAGTACCGAGAGACCAACTATATTCACAGCAGAGACACTCTGCTCTGAAGTGGTCCAAGTTTCTTTGGGGTGGGACGGCCTGGCCCAGAGTCCTGGCCGTCCACTCAGCGCGAACTGACTTCCTCAAGTCATTTACACTGTGGGGTGAACGGCAGCTGGATTGTTGCCTAATCTGTTCAACTTACAGAATACATCCTTGCACAGAGAAACGCAGGAAACGAATCTCGAATCTACAAAAGCGTTTTTCCCATCTTAAAACTCTAAAAGGCACCAAGATTTATAGTGGCAGTTTTGTGCAGTGCTGAGGTACGAACTCGGGGCTTTGTGATTGCTAGGCAGGCAAGCTACGGTTTCTTTGAGCCACACCACTGGCTCTGCTTTAGTTAGTTTTAGATTACAGTCCTGCCGGTCTAGACCACGGGCCTACTTACGCTTTGGAAACATCTCGGATGACCAAAGTTCACCACCACCCCTCCACACGCAGCTTATTATTTGGGATGGAGTCTCAAGTGTTTTGCCCAGGCCCTGAGTTCAAGCCAGACACCATGGCTCAGGCCTATAATACTGAGCCCACAAGGATGTCCAGTGCTGGGCAAAAGCACCCACTGAAATGGAGATTCAATGCTCAGAGACTCATCAGCCAAAGCAGTACTATATACGTGCTCTCCAAGAACCGACAAGAGTCACAGGACACACACAGAAATAAAGAATTGTCTCAGCAAGGCAGAATTTACCTCTGCACACAAGGGGGCGCTACCAGCCAGAACTCTGGCTGGCTGACAAGCAAGCAAGCAAGCAAGCAAGCAGTGCGGGCAGGCCGCTTAGGTATTTCTCTCTGGAGGCAGGTAGGCCCCGCCCCTCTGCTCTGATTGGCTGAGGTCAGGGTCAGCCTCTGCTCTCATTTGGCTAGTTGAGTTTGAATAGGGTAAAATGTAATCGGGTAAGATTATAAATGTATTTATATAAGATTAACAATTTGCAAGTAATCTCAAAACGGACCCACCCTCTGCTATTTCTTTTTTTTTGGTCAGTCGTGGGGTTTGAACTCGGGTCCTGGGCACTGTCCCTCAGCTCTTCAGCTCAAGGCAAACACTCTACCACTTTGAGCCACAGCGCTACTTCTGGTTTTCTGGTGGTTCATTGGAGGTAAGAGTCTCACGGACTTTCCTGCCCAGGCTGGCTTCCAATCATGATCCTCAGATCTCAGCCTCCTGAATGGCTAGGATGACAGGCGTGAGCCACCAGTGCCCGGCCCTGTGCTATTTCCTGAGCAATCTAAGGCATGCTTGGAAAGAAACCATTTTAAGATAAAACGTTACATTTCGAAACTCCTCTCCTGTCCCAAAGCAGGTCTCTTTTCCTGAACAAAAGCCAAGCCACCAGGCCAAAGCAGGAACTTTGAAGTGCTACACTTTGATAGAAAAGACAGTTCTGGGGGCTGGGAAGGTGGCTCAGTGGTAGAGTGCTTGCCTAGCATGCATGAAGCCCTGGGTTCGATTCCTCAGTACCACACACCCAGAAAAAGCCAGAAGTGGCGCTGTGACTCAAGTGGTAGAATGCCAGCCTTAAAGTTCAGGGCCAGCGCCTAGGCCCTGAGTTCAAGCCCCAGGACTGGCCAAAAACATACAAAGAAAAGACTGTTTTGCTCACAATACCAACCTAGCCCTGGAAGGGAGGGCTGTTGACCCCAGGCCTAAGCTCCGCCCCAGCCCGCCTCACTCTGCGCCTGCGCGGTGCTTACTTGTGATCAGAGAATTCATGATGACATGGGTGGCCTTAGCCTTCACCACCGGCACCTTGTCGGCACCCTCAGTGGCCTCGGCCGTGGGGGACACACTGGCGTCTCCCTCTTCCTGGTCAAGAGAGAAAAGGGAGCACTTGAGCGGGAGCACTTGAGGAGTCTTGGACCTAAACTTAGACTCCAGCAGATCTTTTACGTGGGAAGACATAAAGGGGGAAGCTGGTCGCCCTCGTTGGTAGATTATGAAGTATCTGGTCAGTGAGGATACCTAGACAGCAGTGAACAGCTCCAGCTCATAGGCAAGTACTCTCCCCCCAGCTTCCCTGACCCGCACCCACTGAACTATGCTCCAAATACTGCTGTCAAGCGCCCAGCCTGTCTGTACCAGGCGCCCAGCCAACTTTCACTTTATCAGAGCATTGTCATGTGGGCGTGCACCTCTCCTAGAAGGCGGGGCCAGCAGTGTGCTGGCCCCGCCCATTTCTAGTAGGTAGGGTTGAAGGGGGCTAAGGCTGAAGAATTGCTGGTAGCGTGGCTCATGCTTGTCATCCTAGCTGCTCACTGAGGCTGAGATTGGAGGCTGGTGGTTTGAGGCCGGCCAAGCAGGAAAAGTCTGTGAAGACTCAGATCTCCAACGAACCATCAAAAAAAGCTGCAAATGGCTGGGTATCAGTGGTTCACGCCTGTCATCCCAGCTACTCAGGAGGCTGAGATCTGAGGATCGTGGTTCAAAGCCAGCCCAGGCAGGAAAGTCCATGAGACTCTTCTCTCCAATGAACCACCAGGAAACCGGAAGTGGCGCTGTGGCTCAAAGTGGTAAAGTGTCAGCCTTGAACAAGAAAGCTAAGAGGCAGTGTTGAGCTCTGAGTTCAAGCCCCCAATACTAGCCTTTATTTAAACAAAAGGGAGCAGGGGCCGCCTTGGGAGGTAGCTCACGGGCAAAGTGCTTGCCTAGAAAGTACACCGCCGTGGGTTCAATCCCCAGTACCAAAAACAAATCCAGGCTGGACACTGGTGGCTCACACCTGTAATCCCAGCTACTCAGCAGGCTGAGATCTGAGGACTGCAGACCGAAGTCTGCCCAGGCAGAAAAGACCATACGCGCTCATCTCCCAGTCGCCACCAAAAAGGCTGAAGTGGAGCCATGGTTCAAGTGGCAGAGTACCAATCTTCAATGAAAAAGAAGTTAGGCCCCCAAGGGCAAAAAAGAGCAGGGTACAGTGTACCCTGAAATGCAGGACTCAGGGGCTACTGTCACCGCAGCCAGGTGCTCCAGATACAGTCTGGCCCTTCCAGCTACAAAATGCATGTCTGTGTGTGTCAGGCCTGGTGCTAATTACTGGGTGCTGGGTGTGAAACCTCTAAGCACCACACCATGCGATCTTCACGCACAAAACCACTACCACTGTGTAAGAGTTCCTTCCTGTGATGTCCAGGAGGGATATATGTATGGAGACAGCTGGAGACAGACAGACAAGACAGACAGACAGACAGAGCATAAATGAATGTCATCCTTTTTTTTTTTTCATACTTTTGGGTCCTGTTCTCAAGTTATCTTATTGGTTCTACATAAAACACGATGATCCCCTCACCAGCCTGTACCCAGGGACACATAGCCTCGATTCTCAAGGGGCAAGGGGACAGTCCCTGGATGGTCATAAAATAATAGACTTAGCCGGGCGCTGGTGGCTCACGCCTGTCATCCTAGCTACTCAGGAGGCTGAGATCTGAGGATCGCGGTTCAAAGCCAGCCCGGGCAGGAGAGAGCGTGAGACTCCTATCTCCAATAAACCACCAGAAAATCGGAAGTGACGCTGTGGCTCAAGTGGTAGAGCGCTCGCCTTGAGCTGAAGAGCTGAGGGACAGCGCCCAGGCCCAGAGTTCAAGCCCCACGACCGACAAAAAAAAAAAAATAATAGACTTGCTCATTACACAGATGGTATATGCAATTATTTATCCATGGGACAGCTCCTAGGTAACTTGCAAGGCTGGATCATGGGAAAGGAAATGGGGAGTGGACCGTGGCGGACAGAACTGCATGGCACCACTTCGCAATGTTCCAGAGCTTGCACTTTTAACAGGGGGAGCTCAGTACTTGAACTCAAGACTGAAAACAGCGCCCCTTAGTTCTGTCACTCCAGGCTGACCGCTAGAGCCACAGCTCTCCTTCTAGCTTTTTGCTGGATCCTTAGCGACAGGAATCTCATACACTTTCCTGCCGAGGCTGGCTTTGAACCAGGATCCTCAGATCTCAGCCTCCGGAGTCTCTGGGATTGATTATAGAGGTGTGAGCCCCAAGCAACACAGCTCACTTTGCACACACACAGAAAGTGGGTGCTGCTCCTTCTGAGAGCTAGGAAGGCTTGTGGCGCGGGAGCAGTTGGGGAGAGAATGAGGATCTGGGTCTGCTGGAAGCCATCAGCGGGGTCCAGTACCTTGGCGAGAAGCTGGTACTTGCGCTCGGGGATCACTGGCTTCCAGGGGATGCTGCCCATGTCCGACGGGGGAGGGGTCATGGGCGCGGGCTCTTCCAGGGCTTCGTCATAGCTGAACGCCCGGCGGCACATCCCGATTGGCAGGGACATCTTGCCTAGAGGCCCATTGGGCCCAAGGGCTAAAAACAGAGACACCTGTCAAGGTGAGTCAGCAACCGAACCTTCTAGTAGCATTAAACTCGTCTCTGCAAGCTCTGAAACAAAGGGACACACATGAACATCACAGCTTGTTGAAGGACAGAACAGATTCATGGCTGTGTGCGTGTGCGTGCGTGCGTGCGTGCGTGTGCGTGCACGCTGGTATTGTGGCTTGAACTCAGGGCCACAGGCTCTGTCTCTGAGATTTTTTCACTCAAAAATGGTGCTGGGAAGGTGGCTTAGTAGTGGAGTGCTTGCCCAGCATGCATGAAGCCCTGGGTTCGATTCCTCAGTACCATAAAAACGGAAAAAGCCAGATGTGGCGCTGTGGCTCAAGTGGTAGAGCGCTAGCCCTGAGTAAAAGCAGCTCAGGGACAGCGCCCAGGCCCTGAGTTCAAGCCCCACGACTGACGACAACAACAACAACAAAAAAAATCTGACTCCAGAGTTTGTAATCTTTCTGGAAAGCCACAGAAGCCCTCTGGCTAAGGCTCTTGAATCACCAAAGTCTGAGAAGACTTTCTGGTTCTTGTGGTTTGGGGTTTGTTTTTTGAGATCGGTTATTACAGCCTGTACAGCCTGGCCAGGACTCCAAATCTTCCAGCCTTAGCATGGGAACACAGTGCTGGGATTACAGGAGTGCACTACCATGCCCGACAAAACTAAACCTTAAAGGTCAAGTGATTTGCCTGGGTTCGTACAGAAAATGGTTACGTAAGGCTTGACCAGCTTCTGAGGCCAAATCCTCTCTCCTGCCTTGCCAAAAACAATAGCATGCCCAGAAATCTGCAAACACCTGACCCTGCCGGGCCTATGTCCAATTTCAAGTGTTAAAGTCAAACAACAGAGATTCCATCACAGAAACGGTTGATAGAGCCACTCGCAAAACTGGCAGCTCTTACCCTACCCATCTAAACTCACGGCTGGAATGTTCTGCTGTCACTCAGGCGTCAAGGACCAAGGAACAAGGTTCATTTTTGTCATGGCAAAACACTTGTCTGGAATCTGCCCTCAAGGTGACATTTCCCCGTGACTAACATTATATAACCAGTCTCCCAACAGTGTGTCCAAAGCAATCCAAGGCTTCGTTCAAACAGCAAAGGCGGGGAGGGGGGCATGAAGTAGCTCTGCACAGGATTTATATTAATATTAGTAACGATTACTAACGGGCTGGGAATGTGGCTTGGTGGCAGAGTGCTTGCCTAGCATGCATGAAGCCCTGGGTTCCATTCCTCAGTACCACAGACACAGAAAGAGCCAGACGTGGCGCTGTGGCTCAAGTGGTAGAGTGCTAGCCTTGAGCCAAAGAAGCTCAGGGACAGTGTCCAGGCCCTGAGTTCAAGCCCCAGAACTGGCAAAAAAAAAAAAACATGATTACTAACAAACCCAGGTTGCCAGGGATGGAGAAGAGGAATACAAAGTTCATGAGTACAAAGTTTTCTGCCATTAGATTGTGTTGACGATTCCATAAGCTTGTGCACATACTACAAACCATATTCGCTTCAGTAGCTCACATCTATTAATCCCAGCTACTCAGAAGACTGAGAGCTGAGAATCTCGATTCCAAGCCAGCTCTGCCAAAAAAAAAAAATGTGGAGATCAAAAAAAAAAAAAAATCAGCAAAAAGCTGGAAGTGGAGGCGTGGCACAAGTGATAGAGCGGTGTCCTTGAGTGAAATATCGAAGGGACGGTGCCTAGGCCCTGTGTTCAAGTCCTAGTTCTAGCACAATAAATAAATGAATGAATAGGTAAAATTATAGCGTCTGCATTATATCTCAATTAAACAAAGACACGAGCCAACAGAAATTACTAAGCAGTTACAATTCTCATCTATAATCTTCACTAAGCAACAATTCTTCCCATTTTCCAGCTCAGGAAACTGAGGCCCAGATTAGAAACAACTTGCTCAATGTTATCCAACCAGGGAGTAGGAGGTAGATTAAAGCCACAGCTCATACTCCAGGCCCCCAAAACAACAACAAAGCATTCATTAGCCTGGAGTCAAACCACAAGGCTCTGGATGGCCGCAGAGTTGGAGTTTATGGTAGTTACAGCACAATGGAAGACAAACACTGACGAGGATGAGGCGGCTAGACATACATTCTACCGGTTCACCTAACTCACCTGCAGGGCCATTTCAAAACTTCCCAATCGCATATAAAAATAATAGTACCACAAGGCACCAGTTGGGTTCACACCTGTAATCCTAGCTACTTAGGAGGCTGAGATCTGAGGCCTGTGGTTCAAAGCCAGCCATAGCGGGCAAATCCCAGAGACTCTTATCTCTTATCTTTGTTTTTTCTTAAAGCCAAAAGCAGAGCTGTGGCTCAAGGGGTAGAGTGCCAACATTGATCAAAAAAAGATACATATATACACACACGTATGTATGTATATATACATGATTTGTATCATCTGATACAAAGTAAATGGTTAGCATACATCCTCAAGAACTACTCCTATTTAAATTAGGTTTGGGGTTTTTAACCAGGGCTGGATGCTTAAGAAGACATTTTTTTTCTTCTCCATACCACTTGAGCCATGCCTCAGCCCCTTTTTTTGCTTTATTTTTCAGATAATCTCTCACTTTTTGCCCTGGCTGACTTTGGATTTTGATCCTTCTACCTAAGTCTCCAGTGGTAGCTGAGATTACAATTATGTGCTGCTAGGCCTGACCATGAGATAGTATTTAAATGATAACCTATTAGGTCTGAGTTATTCCCTGGCCTGGTGGCAGAAAGAAACTGTTAAGATAATAGTTCAGATAAAAATGATTTCTGAGTAGCAGTTTTAAACCATGACTTTAAAAATAAATAAAAAAAAAAGAATGCAGATTACCAGGCACTTCTGGTTGTCTTGTAGCCATTGAAAGACTGGGATCCAAGGTGCTTTTTAGAGATAGAATTCGGAGCTGATTCCCTGCCACCTAAGAAGATAACAAAGGGCATTTTCTGATGGTGAGTACTAAAGGATTGGCTGTAATGCTGCCCACCAGCCACTGGAGCTGTAAGTCTTAGCAAGTAGAAAAGTGGAAACACACACAGAGACCCATGGGTGACAGACATGGCAAACGTGATGGGGGGTGGGGGGGGGTGCGCCGAGCTGAGCTGGGTCTCACATCCAGGGCTTCAGAGAGATCACAGCCCCAGTCGCCGGGTGGAGAATCACCTTACCACTAGGCTGACAGACAAGAGGTGAATGGGGAGCATGGCGCGGCTGCGGCAAACCGGCCAAGCTTCCTCCGCCCGGGCCATCCAGAGAGGTTCTAGAACGTGACCACAAACCACCAGGATTGTGTCCAGCCTTTGGGGCTGGCCGGATGCTGTCCGGCACAGAGAGTCAGCGGCGCTCAGAAGCGTATCAGCAAAACCCCAACCAACACCCACGATTTGCAGGGTGTGTGTGTTGGTACTGGGGGCCTGAATTTAGAGGCTTTTTTTTTTTTTGCTCCAGGGGTGGCGCTCTGCCACTTGAGCCACGGCGCCACTGCTGGTTTTCTAGTGGATCACGGGAGATCAGAGTCTCAGGAACTGGCTTTGAGCCGCGATCCTCCGATCTCAGCCTCCCGGGTAGCTGGGCTGACAGGTGGGAGCCGCCGGCCCCCCGGGGAAGGGCCCGTCCGGCCGGGGCGCAGGCCGCGCCCGGGGAGGGGATCTACCTGATCTCTTCGCTGCGTCGGCCCGCAAAGGCGGCCAACTACACCGGTTCGGAGGTCCCGAATCTGCAGAGAGGCCGCAGCGCGGGCCGCCGCCGAGCCATGCTGCGAGCGTCGGCCGCAGCGGCGGAGCTCGACGCCCGGACCCCCGGGCCGCCGGGGAACAAGAGGCGCCTCGAGGCCTCGGCGCGTCCCGCGAGACTGGATTCCCCCC